CTGTCTTGATTGCACAGTCGTCCGCGAAGAGCAAGTCCAAAATAGTTGTCATAGAGCGATAGGTTGGGGCCGAGGTGCGTCGGGTACTGAACAGCTTGCCGTCGGCTGTGTAGACGCGCTAATCCCAGGATGATAGGCGTTCCTTAGCATGAAGGAGAACAGGGACCTGAAGACGGTGGAAGCGGGTACTTAGCCTTACTTCAATCCATCAGTCATTGTGAATGCTTCTAAGCTAATCCCCTTTTCCGTGAAATTTGCCGTCATCCCGTTGTGGAGTTTGCACATTATGTGCGTGAATCGCTCAAAACAGGAAAATTTTCCAAAGTCCATCGCGATCCCTCGTTTCCAGGTTGGTTTTGACCTCCTGGCACTTCGCTTGTAGCTGGCAGGTCGCAAAATTCTTGTTCATCGTTCCGCAGTGTCATTGGAAGCCAGTAGAAGCCGGGAGAAGTATTTGAGAAGAATTTATGCAAAGGTCTTCCCGGCAATGCTAAACAACGAGATTCCTGCTTAAGTATCAAAGACATACTGTTTCCCTTTCTGTCTATACTGATGAATGTTTGTCGCGTCCGCAAACTCGGCCTCGCAGATCGCCTTGATCACCAGAACTTCCTGTCGATCTCGTCTCCGGACGAGAGTATGGTCCAGGTGTCTATGTCGTGATCGGGGCTGCATCCACATTGCTTTATCCTGTGTCGGAAGGTGTAAGGTGTCGGTAACGAAGAGACAGTGTTCCACGAAGGCTCGTAGAAGTAGGAGGGTGTTATCATTACAGCCACCGAAGGAATAGAGACCCAGCACTCCCTCCCAGGCAGTCGGCAAGAACAATCGACTTGTCTGCTTTCGGTTCAGTCGCCGGCAGTGCGCGCAGGTCCTCGTACAACAGATTCCTGATCTTGTCGTATCTGATCTTTGGAGGAATGTAGGCGCTAATGACGGTGGCGAATTCGGCTGCCTAAAGAGGCAGTCACAAGTTCATGTGACGGCCATTGATTCCCTGCAGTAGACAGGACCGTCGTCTTACAATGTCCTTCGGGACGGCGAACGTGACGCCAGCGTCGTGTCGCTCTGCCTTTGGGTGATCGCTCCAGAACAAGGCGTAGCTGGCACCCACCTCCTCCAGCTAAGTCTGTTCAAAGAATCGGATCTTTTTGAGAATAGCGAATAGTGTTGCGCCAGTTCTCGAGCGACTAGCACCATCTTCTTTTCTGGTCCGTTGCTCCGCGGATTGTCTAAAAGAGTACGAAAATTTCAGGCTGCCAGAGTGAGTAGAGTCGGGGGGTGTAGTGGGTGGCTGAGGGCTGAGGTTTTTTTTTATTATTCATTTACTTGTTTCGATCGCGAGTTTTCCATCTACGAGCCACGATATACTTGCAGATAACGTTGACTCAGCACCTGTTTAGGGCACATTTTATAGGCCTTTCTTGCACGGTAGTAAGCCGTGCTATCCCTAAATAGAATTGCATAGACCTTCAAGATGGTTGCCGAACTCTACTATGTGTAATAGCTTTGTGCATTTGCGAACGATGCCAGTTATCTCGGACCGCCTACAGAATTGCATGTCGCCCTCTCCGTAGGACTTTTGAAGTATGTGGGAGAAAGATCGATGCAAGGATAAGGGAGAGCAGAAAA